TACTTAAATGCACCTCCACCCGTCCAAATAACTCCATTCGAATTGCCATTGTTCCTGGGCATTCAAACATATGTTTGACATCCTCTTTTTCATCGCCGTATCTTCGGCAACGTGATGATGATGATGATGATGTTTTCAACATCCAGGGTCCGGGGGAGGAGGGTATAACGCGGAGCGGGGGGAGGGATGGGGGTGGGTGGGGTCACAGGCCACAGGGTGGTTGCAGCTATATTTTATGGGAACAGAACAGAGCTAGATGCCTGTGATCGTCGTGATGCGCGAAGGGCATTCGAAGGAGGGAGGGGGGGTCTTCTTATTCTTGTGAAAAGCCATAGGATGCTATTAAATGAAAAGGACAATACCTAACAGCAATGCGAGTGTCTTCATTTTTCGTTTTGAATCTTTTGCGATTTTTTAAGGAAGAGACTTGTGGGGGGGGGGGTAATTTGTATAATTTCTGTCTCTCTACTGGGATGTTCTATTCCCTTAAGCATGGTTCGCCAGAAGCACAGTCGAAACAGCCTTCCTCACAAATGTTCAACAACATCCAAAGGCCAATGACATGGAAGAACCTTTTCAATCTGCTTATAAAAGGCACCACAGTACGGAAACCGCTCTTTTAAAGGTATCATCAGATGTTTTAAATGAAATCGATAATTTAAAAAAAGTCTGTGTTTTGGTTCTACTTGATTTGTCAGCGGCGTTCGATACCATCGATCACGAAATTTTACTAGAGAGATTGGAAAAGTCAGTTTTACTATCAGGTACTGTGCTAATGTGGTTTAAATCATATCTAGAAAATAGATTTATGTCAGTGAAAATTGGCAATGATGTGTCGGATAGGTTACCTCTAAAGTACAGAGTTCCTCAGGGTTCGGTCCTTGGTCCTGTCATCTTTACAATGTACAAGCAAAGTCTGTCATCAATAATTTATTTATATGCCCTCAATTACCATCTTTATGCAGACGATACACAGCTGTGTGGATTCACTACAACTGACAATGTACACAATCTCATAGATAGAATCGCCAGATGTATCAAAGATATAAGAAAATGGATGCTCAAGAACAATAATTAAAATTAAGTGAGGATAAGACCGAAATATTATTTCTTCGTAGCAGCGCATGCAATGAAATCGACAATATCAGAATAAACATCAATGGCCACGAAATATCAGCCCAAACTAAAATAAAAAATTTAGGTGAAGTGCTAGATCAAGATATGTCAATGAAATCCCATGTATCCAATTTTTTTTTTAATCTATATCTTCGACTGAAAAAAATAGGGAGCATTAGAAAATATCTATCTGTTGGTGTCACCAAAACTTTAACAACATCACTTATATTGTCAAGGATTGATTATTGCAATTCCTTACTGGCTGGTGTACCTGATGAACAGTTACAACAACTACAAAGAGTACAAAATATTGCTGCCAAAATAATTACTAAGAAACTAAAGCATGATCATGTGACTCCTATTTTAAAAGAATTACACTGGCTCCCTGTGAAAAAGCGTATCATATATAAAATCTGTTACATGATTTATCACCGGACTATCTAAAACAGTTTTTAACACCATATGTGCCTCCTAGAACGCTCAGATCATCAAGTGACAAAACAACCCTTGTTAAGCCTAAAATAAATTACAAATCATATGGCTAACGCTCTTTTTCACATTTTGCCCCATTTGTTTGGAATAGGCTTCCAAAAACTATCAGAGAAGCAGAAAATCTAGAAATTATTAAGAAGAAACTAAAAGCATTTCTATTTTCATCATATTTCGATTAGACAGAATCCATCCAAGCTGTAGATCGTTGTGAGTTTGTATGTGCGTAGGTGCACATGTACGTATGTGTGTATGTGTGTACGTATGTGTGTATGTGTGTGTGTGTGGTGCGTGCGTGAATATGTGTGTGCACGTGTATGTAACACTATGTGCCTTTAAAATTGATTTGTAAATCCATAATATGTATCATGTTAAGCGCCTAGAGCATTGCATAAGTGGATATGCGCTATATAAATGCAATCTATTATTATTATTATTATTATTGTTTGCGTTGATGGGATATATGCATAGATGAATGATTCTGTTAATAGTATGATATTTTACGGCAATGTCAAGGGGCGGAGAACTTGAGTGGGTAGCTGGCGGGTGCTCGGGTGTGGTTTGTTCCTTCTTTTCTATGAAATATCTGTCATCCACATCTCTCCTCCTTTTTTGTGTTTGCTACTCTCGTGTGCACTTATATGACCCAATTGTGTTCCAAGTGCCGTAAAACTCTTATTAAAACAGGAGCTTTTGAGCCAATCGAGGAATGTTGATAAGAAGAGTTTTTTAAAGGGTGGGGACAGACAGACAGACAGACAGATAGACAGACAGACAGACAGACAGACAGACAGACAGACAGACAGACAGACAGACAGACAGACAGACAGACAGAAAGACAGATGGGGAAGGGAGGGTGAAAGGGAGGGGGAGGGAGGGACAGAGAGAGGGTGGTTTTTTTGCAGGGGTCAACACAGACAGATTGAGGGAGAGGCAAAGAGAGTCGGAGACAGAGACAGCAACAGAGACAGACAGACAGACAGACAGACAGACAGACAGACAGACAGACAGACAGACAGACAGACAGACAGACAGAGACAAATAGACTGACATGCAGACTGACAGACAGGCAGACAGACAGACAGACAGACTGACAGACATACAAGACAAGACTGACAAATCGACAAACAGCTCACTGGGATTCATCCCCGGTCACGGCGACGTTGAGATGAGCGGCATCACTGTTGGGACCCCCCACACCTGTAGAAAAGCCTTTGAGATCCGGGTTGTATTGCCGAAGAACGTCTGTCGAAAAAAAAAAATTAACAGATTATAAAAAGGTGTTTCAAGTCCCAGTGGTGACAGTATTATTAGATCTATATCTCTTGTTGGGTCTCTGTTCAATTATTATTTTCTCATCTATCACTGTCGCGACGTTTGTTAGGCCCGCCTCACAAAGAACGTGACATTTCACGTGTCACGTTTTACTATAGGCATGCAACATTACACGCCTCACTTTATCTGATCACATAGAATCCAGCGCCCACGGGGTAGTGCCACTGACTGTCGTGTCTTTAGGCCATTCCCAAAAGGGGGACATTTCTCGTTCAAGCACAGTAGAATTGTAAATGGGCTGATTCATGTCACGCTCATAACTGGGCCTGATCTACAACAGGGAACTACTGCTTTCTCTTTCCTTATCCTCACTATTGTCATTTTTCCTCTACTTCTTTTGTATGTTTGTCACTCTCTTGTGGCATGCTATTTTTTGGGTGCCTTGATAGTCGAAGCAGACCTTGTGCTGTTGAAGCTAGAGAGGTGAGCAGAATAAGTCTGATTCCCTGTAAAGACTTCTCTGTTGACATCCACCCCTTGGCGCTCATATGACCTTATGCAGTTGCGAGCGCCGTAAAACCCTCTACTATTTTAAAAAATAGAATCCAGATCTAGGTTTTGTCGTCTATTAGTGTCCTCTTTGTCTGTGCATGCTTCTTTTTCTCTTTTTTTCTGCTGCATGCTTTTTCGACAGTTTGCTAGGGAAAGGCTTAGGACACATCTACGGTATTTAACGCAGGGGGTGACAAGACATGGCTCAAAAAGAATCAGCATGCAGTGTGACCAGCGTGAGGTAATTGCTTATGTGAGGAGTGCAGTTAAAATTATACTGAACGCTTTTGCTGACACGCGTGACCCGTGTCTGTTCACCTGCGTGACGTGTCGAGTGTCGAGTGACGCTCTTTGTGAGACTGGCCTCATGCTGCATGTCTGTAGTAAAATGTGACATTATATGTGAAGCGTGCTGACAAAGTGAGTTATGTCTCAGGTTCAAACCCTTTGGAAATAGATACATCCCACTTATGGGTGAGGTTTTTGCAATTTATAAGTATGAAAAAACAAAAGGCATGTTATACTTAGCTTAGAATATTACATTTGGCCAATATCTCCATTTGTGGATTGCGGGAAGTGACTCATTTTGTCAGCACACCTCACATATTATGAATGGCCACGTTATATATGAGGCGGGCCATAATGTCGTTCAGAGTGCCGTGCAGCTTTGCTGTGTACAGTGTCCATATCGTCAGTTGCCGTCTACCACTCAAACAAGAAGTTGTTTGGGGTTGTTGTTTTTTTGTTTGTGTTTTTCCATTGTTGTTGTTTCTTCTTTTGTTTAAATTAAAGTCAAAGCTTTCAAGTGTGGCTCGTTCTTCTTGCTCCATAACAGCCCTCTTCTTTTTCTTTTTCTTTATTTGGAAAGTTTGTTTCAACGAAGATATTTTTAACGTCTCCACCGACACAATTTAGATCATTTTTAGGAGGCGGGCTGTCAGGGCCAATCCAAACTAATATGGATACAATATCCCCACAGAAATATCGAGATACCCGATAAAAAATTTCTCCTCATACACACATACACACAGAGAAAGAGAAAGAGAGAGAGAGAGAGAGAGAGAGAGAGAGAGAGAGAGAGAGAGAGAGAGAGAGAGAGAGAGAGATACACACAAACACACACACACACACACACACACACACACACACACACACACACACATACACACACTTACACACACACACACATACATACACACTTAAACACACACACATATCGCACACACACACACACACAAACACACACGCACACACACACACATACATTCGCACACACACTCACACGCAAACGCACGCACCCACACAAACACACACACACACACACACACACACACACACACACACACACACACACACAAATACACACACACACACACATACACCCACAAAATGTCTTACTTGCGAGAGTCCTTGTGTCTTCGATCGAGCCATCGCCACCAACGCTGACGAAACATTTTTAGAGACATAATTGAGTAACATACATTTTGCAGCACCTTCCTTTTTAAAGATAAACATGAAAAAAATGAGAGGGAGGGTCAGTTAAGAAAGGGCTTATATTTCGTGTCTCCTCGAGTGATTAAGTGTTTCAGCTAATCCTTCGGGGGTTCGAGTCTCGAGGTTCAGCTCGGTCTGAAGTTGTGTCCTTGTGAAAGGCACTTTACTTGAAATTTCCTATTTATTGGCTCAATCATTTCGGAGATGGACTTTACATTTGGAGGTCCTACACCTTGAATAACCTCACTTCACAGTGTTGTAATGAGAGTTTAAACCTATGTCATTTCGCACATTTTGGGTTTTATTCTACCCAGATAGGGATACCGGACTAAGTTTAAATCGATACATTATGATCCAGTGCAATCCTTTTTTCGGCTGCAGTTTCATTTCATTACTTCCTTTTATTTGACGAAAATAGAGAAATGGTATCGGTTTAACGCCCATATCAACACAATTAGGTTATTTAAGAAGCGGGACCTCCCAATTTAATATCCATCTCCGAAAAGACTGAGCCAAATTGGAAATTCGAGTAAAGTGCCTTTCACAAGGACACAACGTCAGACCGAGCTGAGACACGAACGCCCGAACCCACAATATCACCATTACAAGTCCAGTAGCCTTACAACAAGGCTACCGATGCCACATTTTATTTGGAAGAGGAGGGGTTGTAAATATCGTCAGCTCAAATACAAGGGTCGTTCAAAACGTTTTGCCTCCAAGTTCATAATTCCTTTATTACAGATGCTACATACACAAGTTATACACCAAATGAAAGCTTAGGATGTCTGCTACATAACAGTATCTTTACTTTTCAATATAGTTGCCTTCTTTGTTGATGCAGATCCGCCAACGTGGAATAAGTGGTCACACGCCGTTGGTGGAAAATTCATGTGGTTTTCCTCTTAACCCGCGACGCACATCTTCTTGGACTTCATCAGCATCTGCATAACGTTTTTCTTTGAGGTACTTCTTAAACTAAGGAAAAAGATAAAAGTCAGAGGGAGCAAGGTCTGGACTGTATAATGGGTGCGGTAAGGTCTCTTGAAATCTGAGACTTTTCATGTCATCTTGAGTTTGTCGACTCGTGTGTGGACGGGCGTTGTCGTTGTGCAAAATTGCATTTTTTTCCGGGCCGAACTCGTGACAGCCGTGCTCTAAGTTTTCTCAAATCTCAATACATCGTTCAGAGTTGATAGTTGAACCCTGTTCCAAAAATTCCTTATGAATCAGACCATCGCAGTCCCAAAACACTGTCATAAGCACTTTCTTTGCAGATGAAACAACTTTGAACTTTTTGGGGCTAGGTGAGCCAGTGTGTCTGTATTCTTTCGATTGTCTTTTGTTCTCTGGGTCATAATGGTGTACCCAAGTCTCGTTTCCTGTGACTATACGGCGTACGAAAGCTTCACCTTCATCGATATAACGAGCCAGGAGTTCATCACTAACTTGACTTCGGTTCAATTTCAGCTCGGGTGACAACATGTGGGGAACCCATCGTGCACACACTTTCCTGTAACCCAACACATCATGGATGATATACTGAGCACTCCCTACAGAAATCCCCTAGCATTTCACTGACATCTCTTACTTTGATCCGCCGGTTTGCTTGGATGATCTCATCCACTCTCTCCTGGTGTTAAACATCACTGGCAGAGTTGGGACGACCACAACGAGCTTGGTCATGCAAATCTGTCTCTGCTGGACTGGTTTCAGCGAACTCCTTTGCCCATCTTCAAACAGTACTTACATCTGCCCAACGCTTCACCATAGACAAGTTTCATTCGCCTGTGAATATCAATGGGTGCAGCTCCCTCTGCAGTAAGGAACTCAATAACAGCTCTTTGCTTTAAGCGCACTTTCAAAGGTTTGCTGGACTCCATTTTCTTGGCGATAGTATACCCTAGCTTCTATGATGTAAACAGCAAGAGCATAAAGGTCTGACATTATAGCATAATTCTGTTTTTTTGTGTTTGAGAGTATACATATTGAAAGTCAATTGTGTACAAATTTCATGAAGATACTTTGAATAGTTTAGAAGTTATTGGAGGGGAGGCAAAACTTTTTGAACGACCTAAGTAGTAGGCTATAATGCTGGATTTATATTGCATATGATCCAGGTCCCAATCCCCAAAGTGGACGACGGGGTGATACTATTAGCTTCGTTGGTATTGTGCTGGGCTATATCTTGGATCACCCGAGTTCAATTTCTCAACTGACTGTTCCAGAACTTGGGTTGATTTCAGGGTTTTCAAAGCTCTCGATTGGTCGTGTCGGAGACGGATGTTGATTTCGGAGATCCTGTCTTTTAAACAACCTTATATGGCGTTGCAAGGGACGTTAAACCAACCCTTATCATACCAAGGTCGTTTGGAATCCACTCCACCACCACCACCCCGCCACCCCCCCCCCCCTCACTCCCCATGTATTACATTCAATCAAGTCAATCACCACCACCCTTACCACTGTTGCTATTATTGTCACCAACTTTACTTGTTAAAAAGTGTGATACAAGACAGAAGGTTTGCCCAATTTATGGTATGTAAAATCATAACTGTGCCCATTTATTGCTGTCTTGTGAAAGTTTGATAACGTTCATTTGACTTTGAAAACCTTGTCATTTATAAACTAGTCTCTATTTTGTGTATCCTAGCACCAAGATCACCCACCACCATCATCATCATCATCCTCCTCCTCCTCATCATCATCATCATCATCATCATCATCATCATCATCATCATCATCATCATCATCATCATTATCATTGTCGCCGTCGTCGTCGTCGAACTCCCATCATCCAGCCACCCACTCATTAAGCATCCGCTTACCCAGCCACTCATCCACTCAGCTACTCATTCACCAACCGCTCACCAACGCACCCGCCCACTCCCCCACTCACCCACTCATCCACCCGCCAACCACCCACAGAGAGAGGAGCCACTTACCCACTCATGCATCACCCTCTCACACACTTTCTCCATATCTCACACACTAAGTCACCCATCCACCTACCCACCCAGCCAGCCATCTATTCACTCTCTCACCCACTCAGCCAACCACTCAGCCACCATCCACCCACCTACTTCCTCACTCACCCACCCACCTAGCCACTCACTCACCTACTCAGCCACCACCCACCCACCTAGCCACTCACTCACCTACTCAGCCACAACCCACCCACGTAGCCACTCACTCATCTACTCAGCCACCACCCACCCACCTAGCCACTCGCTCACCTACTCAGCCACCCACTCAGCCACCCACTCAGCCACCCACTCAGCCACCCACTCAGCCCCCACCTAGCCACCTACTCACTCACTCACCCACCCACATAGCCACTGACTCACCTCCAGGATAAACCTCTGTAATCAATCAATAGTCCTACGATACCTCCTGAAGAACCTCTCCCTGCCTGCAAGAGAACACGATTTTTAGGGGGTGAGTGAAACAACAACAGCAGCAGCAGCAGCAGCAGCAGCAGCAGCAGCAGCAGCAGCAGCAGCAGCAACAGCAGCAGCAGCAACAGCAGCAGCAGCAGCAGCGGCATCAACAACAACAACAACAATAATCATAATCATAATAATCATTATAATAATGATAATAATAATTATTATTATAATATTCATATTCACATATATAATATTAATATATATAGAGAGAGAGATTGAGAGATTGAGTGAGAGACAGGGAGAGAGAGAGAGAGAGAGAGAGAGAGAGAGAGAGAGAGAGAGAGAGAGAGAGAGAGAGAGAGAGAGAGAGAGAGAGAGAGAGAGAGAGAGAGAGAGATCCAAAAGATTTAGAGAGAAGAGGTACGTGTTGTGGCAGCTTCAGTATGCGGTCCATAATAATAAAAATGTGGGACACAGCATTATTATGTTCAGCAGTATTATCATGTAAACATTCAATGGGGGCTCCCGTGACCTAGAGGTTAAGGTGTTGGCCTCTCATTCAAAGGTCCCGGGTTCGAATCCGGGTAGTGACCGAAAAAATTTCTTCTCTAACATTGTCTCCTTTGACCTCCTTTCGTGCTCTCTAGCAATATTCTTTCGTCTGCTTTCGTCTCCTATTTCTGCCCCCACCCCCTCACCTCCTTTGCCCCCTCCTCTGGGCTCCTGACTCTTTCTGCAGCCTTTCTACTGCTACTCCTTGACTCCTTCTTACAGCTGTCTATCTGCCACACCCCTGATCTTCTGGTAGGAAAGATTTACACCTAGCCTTCTCGGACAAGGGTGAAAAATCTCGGAGGGCCCGTGTGCAAGTAGCGCACGTTAAAGATTCCTTGGTGGTCTAAAATCGACAAGAGTAGGCTTCGGTGGCCATCCGGGCAAATTCAAAATTTCCTACCGACTAAAAGTATTAGGTGTGTCCCGCGCGCTCATATGACCTTATGCAGTTGCGAGAGCCGTAACACACTTTACAAAAACAAAACAAAAAACATTCAATACCAGCATTATTATCTTCATCGTTATTATCATGAACAGTTCTGAACGCAAGCATGCCTGTAAACTTTTCTTTTTCAAGACGAAAGGGAGAATCCTAAAAACGCTGTACACGAGTAGCGGGCTTCTTATTTACTTCATTTTATCACAAATACTTCCATTACGACAGCATATCAATTTAAACTGACTACAGAATGTTGACCGAACAGATAAAAAGTGATATGATAATTATCATAAGGGGCCTATATATACGAATAATCTTGATGATGTCAGTGGGTTTACATAATGGCAAGATCCTACTTGAGATTTTCTTCCTAATAGTTGTGTTGACGAGGATTTATTTTAGTACTTGTAAATATTGTATGTCCCAATTGACGCAATTACAGCATTTAAGAGGCGGGCTGCTTCAGTCCCGCCAGTAGCGTCAACCAAGGCGGATCGAGCAGGACACAACACCCAACAGGCAGACAAAAATACTCGATTTAAAAGAAAATATCCCCCCGGGAATCGAACCCTAGCATTTTGCTTGCAACGATGAAGAATCATTACACCACAGCGAAGATAGTACACATGTACGATCTTTGACCACAGATGCTTGTGACGAGAGAGCTTACAGTAGCATTTGAAACTGCGCAGCTTACAGCAACATGAAATTTAGAGCTTACAGTAACATGTGAAACCGTATCGCTTTAAAGTTGCTTGCAACACTGTGTGGTTATTTAAAGGTCAGGACCTCCAAATTTAAAGTCCATCTTCAAAGAATCGAGCTAAGTTTGTGAAAATACGCGTAACGTGCATTTCCCAAAGACATATCATCGGTCTGAGCTGAGTCTCGAAGCCCCGAACCCGCAATCTCAGAGCTACGAGTCGGTAGCCTAACCACTAGACTACCGACGCCATATTTTTAGTTTTAGTAAGTGTTTTACTGCACTTGCAACACAATAAGGTCATATAAGTGCCGAAGATTAAAGGTGTTACAAGAGAGTAACAAAAATAAAAAATGAGGAGGAGAGATAAGGACGATAGATGTTTGATAAGAAAGAAGAAGCAAACCCCACCAGAGTACCCACCAACCACTCACGACGCCATATTTACAGTAATATCAACTGCAAGCTCTGACATTACAGAAGTACTATGGAAGATACTGAGACGTCACAGAATCCACAGAGGTTGATGAACCTCATCAAGAGCATGTATGAAGGGACGAGTTGCAGGTTTTTACATAATGGCCAGCTCACCGGCAGCTTTGACATAAAGATTGGCGTAAGACAGGGATGTTTACTATCACCATTTCCCTTCATCTTGTCTATATATTGACTGATGAAGGAAACAACCAGAAGACACAGAAATGGCATACAGCGGACCCCATGGACACAATTGGACGATCTGGACTTTGCAAATGACTAGGCACTTCATTCGCACACCCAGGAACAGATGCAAGCAAAGGCCTCAGTTTTAAACAGCCTGTCAGAGTCTGTTGGATTGGTGATCCACCTCGGAAAGTCAAAAGTCATAAAAATAGATGCACAACAACAGGAGCAGGTCACAATAGAATGAAATGTACCAGAAGACGTTGAATCTTTCTATCATATTTGGAGTATATTTGACAAAGAGGGAGAAACCGGTGCTGAAATAAAGTCCCATATCGAAAAAGCACTGGCTGCTTTCATATCTTTGAATAAGATTTGGAGGACCAGAGACATAATTATCACTTCGAACAGAGCTGAGGATTTTCAACTCAAAGGAGAAGTCAGTCTTGTTGTATGGATTTGAGACATAGAATGCACCTCAGGCTTACATAAGGAGGATCCGAGTTTTCTTGAACAAGTGTCTAAGGAAGTTATTGAGGAACAGATGGGCAGACAGGGTCATCAACGAGAAAGTGTTAAGGAGAACAAGATAGGGCTCAGTCAGGGATGAAGTGGGAAGAAGGCGGTGGCGATGGATTGGACATACAGGAAAAGAGGCAGCTGCATAACAAGGAAAGTGTTGGATTGGAACCTACAGCGTAAAAGATCAAGGGGAAGACCACGTGGAACCTGGAAAAGGTCACATAAATAGACGTACAGAAAAGTGGGGAGATATAGAACAACATCAATAGGCTGACCCAGGATATGGAAAGCTGGAATGTGTTTGTTCGTGGCCTATACCCTGACCCACGGTGCGAAAGGCAATGATAAACCGTACGCTCTCTCGTGAAGACAGCAAGATAACGAGAGGTACCACATGTTTCGTTATGACGTTGTGGACATATATAATACATTTGATAATGCTTTATGTTTATCGTTATCAGTGCAGACGACAGCATGATTAATTTGATTAAAGTTACTGTGGATTTGTTTAAGGGTGTGTTGGTTAATTTATGGTATGCTGAGGGCACACTTTCTCCCACAACATGCTTGCCAACTTAGGCAAATGTGTACTTCACAGGCACAACAATGTTAGTCAGCCTTTTAAAGGTGGGAAAAGGTACAAGAACAAATATAGACTGATTTTATTTTCGGTTCCATATATTAACTTAGCATGTATACTACATAGCGTTCTTAATTGATAAGGCTGTGGACAGCTATAAGCTACTCAAGTGTGCATGAGTGACACCTATTTTTGGTGTATAAATCTGCTTTTCCCCTCTTACCCCTTCTTTGCTCTTTCAACAGAACCATAAGCCAAAGCTTTGGAACCACTGATGGTCCAACACATCAAAGTAAAACATAACAATAGCTTGTTTGTTCAAGTTTGTTACTTATTTTCTTTAAGTTTGTGTCTTCCATTTGCCTGTCTAGCTTTTCTGAGCACTAAATTTTAATAAGCCAAAGTGTTTTGGTGGTTGTTGGGTTTTTTTCTTGGTTTTTGGGTTGTTGTTGCGTGTTGTTGTTGTTGTTTTTTTTTTGGGGGGGGGGGTTGTTGGTTTGTTTATTTTTTGTGTGTGAGGGGGGGGTATTTTAAAAAAGCTATATTGATGGTCGCGAATTTAATTTGGCAAATTGGGCTAAAGCGTTCCACAAAACACTGATCTAAGGGGAAAACAACAAAATGACCGATAACCTCGCCACTATCTTAATTGTCTCGTGTCTCTTCAGGTTTTGCATAAATACAGTATGTCGCCTCTGTTCAGTCTTTCTCGTTCAACTTGAGACCGGTCCTGACTCCTCTCCGTGATCTTAAATGATTTAAACTACTTTAAGCCGGCGTTTAACACCGTTGAGCAATGAGGGGGCAGGCTGCTCCGAATAAGTCCGTTACGGTCAAACAGGGTTGAATCCCAACGGTTGCGGTTATCCAATAAATAAAGACGTCTAAACACGTGAATCGAAATCACATCTTCTGCGGGCAACAGCGACGAGCTTAACCATTATACAGCGGACTCTGGATTCCTCTTCTATTGCCTGCAAACTTCTGCAGCCTATTCCCATGGTCGAAGGGTTTGTTGTTGTTTTTTTTGGGGGGGTGTTGTTTTATCTGGTAAGTGTTTTACGACGCTCGCAACTGCATAAGGGCATATGAGCGCGCGGGACACACCAAACATTTTCAGTTGGTAGGAAATTTTGAACTTTGCCCTCGTTGCGGCTGCAGCCTACTTTTATTGACTTTGGACCACCAAGGGATCTTTAATCTGCGCAACTTGCTCACGGGACCTCTGAGATTTTCCACCCTTGTCCGAGAAGGTTAGGTGTTGATCTTACCTACCACAAGATCAGGGGTATGGCTGCAAGACAGCAGTAAGAAAGAGCCAAGGAGAAGCAGGACAGGAGGGGAAAGGAGACAATTTTAGAGACGAAAATTTTCATCGCCACCTGGATTCGAATCCGGGACCTTCGAATGAGAGACAACACCATAACCTCTAGGCCACGAGAGCCCCCTTGTGTGTGTATGCGTGTGTTCGTATATGTGGTTGTGGGTGTAGAAGTCTAGTCCTCAGAACTCCGAGAGTGTTAAAAGCAAGCACACAACAACAACAACAACAACAACAACAACAACAACAATGAAAAAACAATGAAAACAACGACAACAACAAGAATACCAACAACAGAGACAAAAAATACGGCAATAACAACAGCAACAACGACGAGGACGACAACTGCAACAGTAGTGACAGCATCAGCAACAACAAAAACTATTACTACAGTAGCAGAAACGATGACAACATCAACAACAGCAACATAAAAAACAAAAACTTCAACAACAACAACAATAACAACAACAACAACAACAACAACAACAAAACCAATAATAGCAACAGCAACAACAACAACGACGACGACGACGACGACGATGTCTACAAAAACGACGACAATAATTACAAACTCACAGCAAAAAAAAAATTATTATAAATGAATCAACACATCATCAAATAAATCATGTGAAACTGACCGTGAGCGAGTCTCCCAGCGCAGCGACCAGCTTCACATCACCGGGTCTGAGTTCATGCACTGAGGAGCAGGGGAAGCACCAGAATCTCTCTACCGGCTTTGAATCAAAGTCTTACTAAAATGTCTACTCCACCCCATCCTCTCT